GATTTAACAAACAGATTCCATGTTGCCAACATAGGGCAACAGAAGCAACATAGCACGACGTAACACAAGAGAGCACATCATCGGACAACATAGCACAACTTGACACCAAATGGCACAACATTGGACAACATAGCACAACATAGCACAACATAGAACAACATGGCACAACATGGAACAAAATAGCACAACATAGCAAAACATGACACAACATAGCACAACATAGCAAAACGTATCACAACATAGCACAACATGGCACAACATAGCACAAAATGGCACAACATAGCCCAACGTGGCAAAGCAGCACAAGAGAGCAGAATTAACATAGCATAACATAGAGCAACCTATCACAACATAGGGGTTCAAAATGTGGTAAGAACAGTTAAGTGGGATACGAGGCGACAGCCGAGGGTGACGTTACTGATGCTCGTACCACATTTTGACCAGTCTGTGATCTAGTACTGAAAGGATGCACAGCAACATGCGTCTGTCCTCCAGTAGATTATAAATAAAAACCAATCAAAATGCAAGAAGAATTTGACTTCTTATGTAGAATATTTTTGCTTGCAGTCTTGTTACGCTAATTCTTAATCGCTTTCAGTGCGATTACTCTAAAGCTTTCGTTCTGTGACAGTGAAACCTAGTTACTATCCATACTTTAAACATGAGACTCTCTAAGAACTGAAAAATGTTGCAACCAATGTACCTGGAGATAGCATTTTTATGAATGGGCTGTAAACACCAAAGCGGCCTTCATACTTAAGGCGACTGCTAAACTCGTAGACTGTTTTGTATTCAAACTGTTCTGTGAGAACGAAATCCTTGGCGGGGTTTAAGTTGAAGAGTCTCTCGATCCAGGCAGTTGCACCCTCTTGTCTGTATCGAACTGTCATCACACTTGGAAACGCATAGTTACAAGTGATGGCTGTCCAAGAGATGAGCACAGATGTAATGTTGACGAAGAAAACGCCAAACGTTTTCGGCGGATCGGGTTCTGTAAGAAGGAATGAAGTTAAGAAGTAGCTTTAGCAGTCTGTTAAAATTGGAAACATTTGGACTTTGGAAACACTTTAACCATTTTGTTGGATTATACTGTAATCTTGTGGGCTTTTAGCCCGCGTAGGAAGTATCCCCCGGGTCCTCCCATATGAAAAGGTCGGGGATGTCAGAAAATTTGAATAAAATCCCGAAAGGAGACGAATTTGGGCGTGGTTCGAACTTTATTTGACCCCTAAAAGATACCACTGGCTGCTCCGGGATAGCACACCGGATTCGATAGAGTGGCCGAAATCGAGTCTAAGAATGGAAATTAGGGCGTCTTTTAATTTTTATATCTTCGAGTGCACCCTAAAAGATACTTCAACAGCTAAAAATAGCCGTGGTGTTTCGTCCTGAATACTCTAAGAGAGACCAAAATCCTTGATTTACATTCCTTAGCGAGACGACAAGCATCCCCGACCTTTTGATATGGAAGTCCCCCCTGGGGGTAGTACTATAGATGAAGATCCACGTGCGCTTTAGAAGGTCACTTCATTCCATAGTCAACAAAATAAAATTAGTTATTTGCGGCTTCTCCTTCTTTCGCAATAAAACTCTGTGGACTGTGATATTGATTGATAACATGCATAGCTGACGGGAATTGTACACCAACCAAACCGCCCGTTGGGCATATTGCACTATCGGCAATCATAAAACTCATGACTCATAGCTTGAGTTTTATTGAACTAATTTGCAAGAACAATCCTGTTTACGAACAAACCTGTGACTCGTATTGCTACAGACGAAGATTCTCGTTCTGAAACCACGTTCTTGGGTAAACATTTGTAGTCACCAGAATTGAGACAGTTCAAGCTTTTTATAACCAATGTGTGTTGCCATTTGATGCCGCTGACCCAAGATGGTCCGTACGCGGAGATGTTATTGTATAGCCTGGGAATTATCCACGAAAACGACGGGCTCGGTTCCGCTGTAGTTTCACATCTCAGGTTCACTTTTGCTCCTCTTTGTAAAAACATTGTCGACCCCTGGACCGTTACTTTATTAACAAAAATTTGAATTTCGCTTGGTTCAACTGATGAAAAAGATGGAAAAACAGCCAGTTATTTATACAGGGCACAACATTTGGAAAGAGCGTGATCTAAATCGCTGTTAAACGTGTAAACATAGTCGATGTGAGCTGCGACTTATTTGCGTTTAAATATAGTGGAACATTGGAACCCTGTCAATTCGACCGCTTTTAAAGATTTGATCTACGTCATAAAAGGCGTGGTTGTATTAAAAAGGGTTCTTACAAAAACCACATACCCAGTGAAATTTCACTTGGAAGGTTGAAGGTCATTTTGTCTATAGAAGGAAGGTGGGATACTCCATTATATTAACCACATAGGCATATGTGTCCCTAAAGATTATTCTTTCCGATTCGTCTTCTTCGAAATATCGGTATGGAGTTTGAAAATTTTTATCTAGAATAGGGTCCAATTTTAGCATCTAAGAAATTGAATCTCTTGCGAAAGGTGGAAGCAATTTCTGAATAGCTGAAGTCAGGGTTTAAAAACATGCTCTTATTTTACAGGTCTGAAATAGGGTTGGGTCACGTCTGAAAGAGCTTATGCATCGCAGTCGCATATCTTGGTCTGAAAAACAGTAAAGGTTTCAGGAAACAAGTTGCACACCCTCACCGAAGATTAAATTTCAAGGAGAGCCTCACAGGTTAATTTAACTAGCCCGTGTTTAGGCGTGGTTCTAATCAACGACCCTGGGGGCCACAATTTCAAGACAGTGATCATACTGTAGTTTAAGCAGATGGCGTAATGTACGTATGGGATTTATCAACTTATTTAATGTAGGTGTAGATAAATCACAATGAACAAAAGTGTAATTCATGATTGGCTTCCGCACCTCGTTAATTTTACACTACCTTTGAACTGCAGGAGACCTGTTGGAGCCACAAGTAGGTCACTTAAAGAAGCTACGTCACGGTTTCACATCTTGAAAATTTTAGCCTAAATTTCCTAAGGTCGTCGTTTTAGATCCGTGTTAATCTTCTCCGTCCTTAACCATCCTTGTTCTTTTATGGTTTATTATTATCTCCTTGGTATTTTCTACCTTAGTAAACCACTCTTCAGGTTTCCTTCAATTTAGAGGTAATTATGTACATGCCAAAATAACTCAAAAATGCCCTGACTGAGCTCCTTTGATGAAATGGGCTCTATTCCTGTTGTTGTTGTGTTGAAACGTTCCCCAAGTAGCTTGCTCTACTGGCTAATTACAATCCTTCTCAACTTACCATTTGTCCTAAAAGTGACAACCTCCGATGGCGGGCTTCTTCCAATGAAGTTTTCGGCGTAGATCCTCACATCATATATCTCTCCTTTAGAGGCGTTAAGATCAAATCTTCTGTTTTCAAAATATCCAGCAGTCGTCCAATTCCTTGATTGGGTCTTCTTGTACTCCACCACGAAATGTGACTCGGGAAGACACTCGTACCCCGCAACCTCTGCCCATGTAATCTGCTTTGTCGTCGGGTCTATTATGACATTTGATGGTTGCCGGGGCACATCTGTTAATTTAAAATAAAATAAAATGCTACTCAGCAAAATTCTCATTAAAAAGACAAACTCGATATTACTTCCTTTAGACTTGCAGCACTTCTTTTCACACTAAGTTCTCTTACCTAATATTTTAAGTGTGAATTGTCGTTGGTCAGTGCCATAGTCGTTCGCCGCTACACATGTATAATTTCCCGCCATTTGACAGTTGAGATTGCTGACAATCAACACGCTTACATTTTTATTGGAAACCACGCTTTCAACAATGGTGTAGGTTTTGCCTTGTTTGATTCGATGATTATCCTGATACCAGGTGATGTTGAATGAGTTGTAGACCGAACACTTCATAGACACTGAGTCGTGTAAACTGGATAAATGATTAGTTTTCCTTTGAATGATTACTGGCGAACCTGGAGAAAGAACGCGTGCATACACTGTTAGACATTATGCAATATATCAAACACGAGAGACAGTGTTTCATCAGGATATCCAAACAACGAGAAGAGAGTTGAAGATACGACGCGCAGCGGAGTATTTTTTGCCGAAATTTCGAGTGTTTGATATATCTTCTCAATCGAAACAAAAACTAAGGAGTAAACGGAGAAGTAAAATCGTCAAAACATACGCTAATTAAGAGCGAATATCCAAACCTCCCTCACGTTTGTAATTTTCTTTGTTTTAACATGATGAATTATTAAGGAGTTTGAGAATATTATTTTCTAAACCACTGGCAATGAGGCTAAGTGATGGTGTAAATCTGCAGACCTGTTTTGGGTAGGTTGTTATTTTGATTGCTTTAATCTCAGCTGTGTTAATGCGGTTTTTCGATGTCCTGAACTGTTGTAAAAACATAAGCCTTAATAATCATGCACAGACTCAATTCAATTCAATTCAATTTTTAACTGAAACTCTCACAAACATTAATTTTACAGAGGTGTCAGAATACATATGAATATCTACAAATTATATTTAGATGATAAATAGCACTAATGAAATAATTTAAAATTGTGATTAAAAAATAAAGTGTTAAAGAGAGAAAGAAAAGGAGATAAAGGAAGACCAACAGTTTTAATACAAGGTTGATTGTGTGGAGTTTGGGACACCTAAATAGTTTATGGAACTAATAGAGGTGCCCAAAAGTAACTAAATTTAGCAGAAGGAATGTAGTGTTAAATAAACAGTTTAGGTTAAAAGTTTTTTTTTCAAGATCTAGCTACAAAAAAATTAATTACATTTCAACTTAAGAACTAGTAATATTATTATAACTGTCAATAAATTTTTTTTATATAGCTCTACGAAATTTAGGAAATGGAGTAATTCGCTTGATAGTAATTGACAGTGAGTTTCAGAGGTTGGAACCAGATCTCAATCTCTGCTGCTGCATGCGCTACAATAAAACAAGCCTCGAAAATTTCAGGAAAATGCATGAACGAAAAGGGGTTGGTATTTCGAGGATGTGCTTTCGAAATGCTGTCGCCGTGGTTCGATAACGAAAAACACGCTCAGAAAAACCGGGTATGGTTTAACTGGGCATGGCTTTCAAACGAACAACCACGTGAAAAGCTACCCTCTTTCTGCAGGCTCTTCAGTAACTCACTAACTAACACATAAGTTTTACTCCCTTTTCCCGAAAAAAAATCGCCGCATGTTCGAACCATCCTGTGACATCGCGGCGAGAATTTACATCGGATAAGGATTTAAATTCAGAATTTTTGCCCAAACCTCAGCCGCGTAGGTAGGTAGGTAGGTAGGTAGGTAGGTTAGTGAAGTCTGTATATGAGCCAAGTGGCTCATCAGGCCAGAGCTTATCCCGGTTTCAGCAGCATGAGAGCGACTAGGAGTATTTCTACTCCCCCCTGGATGGGATGCTAGTCCATCGCAGGGTTACCCTCCAGCAATAAATTCGCTAGTACCCATTTATATACCTGGGTGGAGAGAGGCACTGTGGGAGTAAAGTGTCTTGCTCAGGAACACAACACAATGTCCCCGGCCAGGTCTCGAGCCCGGACCGCTCGATCGATCCGGCGTCGAGCGCACTAACCATGAGGTCACCGCGCCTCCCACTCAACCAATATGGTGTACATATTTTTAAGCTCTTTCTTAAAGCTTTCCATTGAAGTTTTTCTTTTCAGATGTTGAAAGAAGCAACTCTTTGAATCTGTCTTACTTTTTCTGCACTTACTGAACGTCTCGATCGACAAATCATCCAGGAAAATTCCTCCACTGCCATTTAACTCACCACGAAGAAGAACCTAAAACCAAGTAACAGATAGATAAATTATACTATAAAGTTACAATTACTAGTCACAATTACTTATTATAATTAAAATACAATACAATTACAAATTACTGTTGAAAATCACAGCTGCTAATTAGAAATGAAATATACCTAAAATTTAAACGTCAACCGTTAAAATGGGTTATTTTCAAAATGACGTCAATTGTCAAAGGGACCCCCTCCCATTAAGACCCTCTTGCATGACGGGACGCACGGGGCTTCTACTGTAAGTACCGAAGAGAAATGATAGGAAATTTTCCTAGCCGATTCCTTACATACTCTCAATAGGGTTCTTCGTCTTGCGGCCAAGGCAGGCGTCATAATCTGTTTCAGTGACATGCCGATGATATTAAATAAAAAAATATGCCAGAAAGGGCCGATGGAATATGAGACAAGCTTTAAAATGAAGTCACGATTTTTATAGTGCTTTAAAAGTAAATAGTTCGTTCGAGTCATTCCCGATGCTTTCAACTGATGGCGGACTCCACCGACGCCAATAATCTGGAACAAAACAAGGTCATTATATATCAGATCACGTCTAAACACACGTGAAGAAAGACTTGGGCAGGAA